TCTTCCTTATTTTTGACGTCCTTTCGAGCGCCGCCTTCGCCGTATCGCTACATGGCCCAGGAGCTAAGTTAAAAGGGGGGTTCAAACGTTTCCTCCCCCCCCCCCAGCAGGGCCTGGAAATCCAGGAACTCCCGCGGGGTGCGGGTTAGAAGATGCTTGTGAGCATAACATTAAAATATGTTTAGAGTAAATAGTGCTCGCATATATTACTTTCAAATTGACGATAAAAATGTGTTAATCACACTCAATGCCTATAGGTATTGAGTATCCACTGTAGTTTACTACAGTGGATATAACGATGAACTTCTATGATCTCTTATAAGAAGCACGAATAAAATTTTACATTTTTCTACTCTTTTTTAAATACTTTCCGTGTAAGTGTATACGAGTATATCAAACTGTTAAAGGGACTATCCCACCTTCTAAAATGTTGTTAAAACCAGTTAAATTGTGCCCGACTTTATAGATTGGATGACCAGGAACACGGTTCTGGCATTTATTTTTCATTAAACATCTTAGGCTTCCCATATTCCAAACACAAACTTTCAAATATGTGACGTCACAGCCCAAAATTACCTCCTTCCCCAGGCCACATTACTGTCATAAAGCTGATTCTTTTTACTCTGTAGGCACCACAACAAAGTTCAGACCAAGTTTTAAGCGATTTTTCAACGAACAAACCCATTTAAATCAGAATGACTAAACGAGGTGACGTCACACTAACGGTCGCTCCATGTTGAAGATAGGGCCTTGTACAAGGCCCATTTTCAAATGAAGGGAACGAATTTCTTCAACACCAAGAGGCCGCGGGGGTTGCAACCTAGATAGACAGTGGTTTCTGAACCTCGCCGCAAACTTGGCTATCTCAACTCAAACCCCATGTTAACCCTCGCATGTGTAGGGGGGGGGGTCGGATGGACCCCCCCCCCCATGGTTTTTCGCGAATAACTCGCGTAAAAAGCGGCCGATCGCGACGAAACTTTCAGTACCCTCGCATTGATCAATTTGACACCTACCCTGAAAATTTCATGACCCTGACCCAAATGACCTTTGACCTGTGACCTCTTTTCCGAGACCATGTTTGGCCGGAATCGCGATTCGGCGTACGTCGGCTCGCATTAGCCGCGCGTTTGCAAGCTTTTCGTGGTTTCAAACGTTCAAACATGTGATTTGATGTTGCTCCCATGCATTAGGGCGGGTGTCAAGGTCACCTGAAGGTCAGGTCAGGTCATTGACCTTTGGTGACCTCGGGTGACCTCGGTTCACTTTTTCGAGTTTTACATGTTTCTAGGCTAGTTTTTGGAGCTGAATTCGAATTTAGCAACCATTTGAACATTTACGAAGTAGTTTTGGTGCCTTCGTAACATGTTACGAAGCTGTCAGAGGCGGTTGACACGTACTACGAATACCCGTCACGACGCCTACTGATTGACCTGACCTGACCTGACCCGACCTGGTCTAAATGCTTAAAGACATCATCTGTGATCAAAACTAATACGATATTCGTGATCAGCACCCCGAAAAACCCATTAGCAGCCACACTTTACGACTTTTTAATAGGTCCCAATTTTCCCGGCTTTGGGTCATTGACCTGACCTGGAAGGTCAACCAATGACCTAGGACCTTAAAATTGGGTATCATCGGCTTCCTCTCGTCACGGGCAACACGCTCGTTTTTCCGCGAAGCTCTAGCTCGATCAGGGGCCAAACGGCAAGGGGGGGGGGTCCAACCGACCCCCCCCCCCTACACATTAGAAGCTGGAAAACGCCGCACACATGCGAGGGTTAAAGGTGGGATAGTCCCTTTAATAGGACGTTCATAAATACATGAGCTTTTGGTACCTATTCGGTTACGGTTCCAACATTTCCGGGTAAAATGTTGTTAACTTACCATCTGTGAGGCATCCAGCTGCTCTTTCACCTTCGCCATTGGCCACAATCGGGGTCATGGCTTCCCGGGAGAGTTCCAACTCGTTGGTGTCCTGCAAGTCGGCATTTTTTATCCGACTCAGCTCTTTCCAGACCTGAAAACAAAGGATTAATGACGCATGCTGAAGGACGACTATACTAGTAAGACGCCATCAATAGCCGCGTTTACATAGGGCTAGTTGCCAGATAGTGGAATTCCACTAACGAGACATTTTTTCCACTAACGAGACATTTCAGGCACCTTCAGATAATTCTGACGACCTATCCGGCCAGAAGGACCAAACCGATTGACAAAAATAAATACATCGTGGGCCGCGGATGAACACTTCAGGCCTAGACATAGTATAGATGTCGCAACTCGCGGCCTTCCCGGCAGTAAGGGCGAGGTATAGATGACGCTTCTGCAGCAAGTCACTGGAACGTGCGAGTCGTGGAATGGAACGGAAGATACGGAACGGGGGCTTCATAACGGAAGCTTATTCGTTTTATTTTCATTTAAGAATTGATTTCGTGCGCTAAGGAAAGAACATTGTCTTCTTTTTTCTTACGTCTGCACCCCCACCCCCCCCCCCCCCCGTCCCTTCCATCCTTTGGATCAGCCAGTGTGCAGCAAGAGGGTTCATCGGAGAAAAACAACAAAGAGCAATCCTCCCTGAGCCTGTCAGGTCAGAAATAACCTGAGCATAGGCGGCGGAATGGGGAGGGCACCGGGGCACCGTGCCCCCCTTTGATTTTGGCATTTTAACATTAGCCCTATGGGCGCTGCATGGAAAGAATGGGACCAAAAGTCGGCGGTGCCCCCCCCCCCCCTTAATTGAAGGTGCTCCGCGGCTACTGAACCTGATGACCGTTCGTTATGCCCTACTGCCCACGCTTCTTAAAATTTCAGTAGTAGTCAGTTATCTGGCCAATGTTTCCGTATAGGGGTTGGCAAACACAACTGAGCCTCGTGAGTGGGATGAGTACTGGACACAGAAGTGGACAATCTGTTGGCAAGGAGCCCGCAAGGATAATATCTCGAAACTCAGGACTACGTATACAAACACTTTAAAAGCATCTAAATCTATACTATAATCGAAAGCCGCATTGTTGTGAGCTACCGGCACGTGCGTCCAATCACCATCAAGAACGGAAGTCCGACCTACAGCAAGCACGACAGTCCGATCATAGATGTATTGAAAAATAACTAGCAACTTTAAACATCGCCTTCCTCAGCCACGCTCTACACCGCATCACATAAGAAAACCGCCAATATCGATTACAAAACACACATAAAGGAATTTCGTAGGTAGAGATCAGAGGAATACTTCACCTCCTTTATCTGGCGCGTCAATAGGTATAAAGTAATCTTTGGCGTCTACGCACTAGCAACATCTATAATGCAAACAGCAGTTCAGAAACCATCCACTAAAATTGCAACAAAGCAAGGGTTGGTCAAAATAAATTATAGTCACCGTGATAAATAGCAAACGAAATACAGAACAAGCAAGCACAACAAAGCATTCCACACTCGTTTAGACTGTACCTACAATATGCCTACATAAGACATTGCAGCAGTGTACAAGGGAAACATTCTTTAAAGATGCCAACGTGAGGAGTTTTAAAAGTTTGGTGAACATAGTTACGAGTCACTGCACAAGAAATGTCGCGGTCGCCAGCCGGCCCAGGCGAAAGAGTCGACGGAGACGGCGTCAAACAAACCCGAGAGGGGGTAGTTTCATCCGCATCAGCGGAGGCGCTCTCTCTGTTAAGGTCGTCAGTTACCAGCCGCAGCACCCTGCTGGCGATTTGATAGCTGCTCTCATTCTCAGCTGGCTGAGCGCCATGTGCCGGGTCATCCGGCTCCATGATTTCCCCTTTCATTAGCAGCTGCTGTTGTAGTTATTGTTGTTGCGTTCCTTTCAGCTGCTGCCGCAGCATAGCCGTACGGTTCTGGATGGTTCTCACGGCGGCAGCCAGGGTCACCAAATCCGTCTCCCCGTAGCCACACCAGACTCGGGAAAATGTACCGAGATGTACCGAGCCAATGTTGCAGCACTCGCGGCATTCATCGGTAGGACTCCGCCCAACCCAATGTCGGCACTGGCAGGAGCCCGACCAGTGGTCCAAACGAAACTGATGAAAATCGACAGCTGATGAGCGGTCCTCCACTGACGCCGGACGGGTGGCGACGGCGCGGCCGGTCCTGGAGCTGGAACAGCAGAATGGACCGGTCGGGACACGCGGCTCACCAGTCCATTCGTCCTGCTACTCCCCGTAGACCCCAGCTCCTTCGCTGCAGGTTCTCGCGTCTGCCGACCGGTCCGTCCACACCCACGCGGCTCGATAGGGGAGGGGAGGGCAGATATCATTACGTCGCTTGAAGCAGTTCAGCTGCCGAGGATCTTTGTCGCAACGCCGCCAGCGCCACGCATCGCAGCAGCACATACCGTGGAGTGCCAGCCTCTTCGCGGCAGACGCGGCATCGGGCAGCAGGGCACTCCACGTCGTTGAATTGTGGGCATCCGGCCTCGGGAGGCGGCCGATGCAGAGCAGGTACTGGCGGATGTCGATAACGACTGCACGGTCGGCCTCCAGGACGGAGCCAGGACAGCGGTCGACCCATATCGACCGGTACCATCCGTCCGGCCAGCTCCGCTGCCAGGCGCGCGCAGCGTCGCGCGCGCGCCTGCCTTGCAGATAGTGCCCACGTCAATCGGCGCTACCGTTGGGATAGACGGCGGTCGACCCATATCGACCGGTGCCATCCGTCCGGCCAGCTCCTCCAACACCGCTCTTAGGGCGAATAGCTCGCCGCGCGTGCTAGAGCAGAGGGCGCCTGCCGCGACACGCACCTCTCGGATGTCGCGGTTCGGGGGGGGGTGGCCCCTCCTCCTCCATCTAGCACACCATCGGTGGCGGAGCTGTCTGACCAGATCAAGCTCGCCTCAGACGGGAGCTCCGCCAGACGACTTTCCGCCGCCTTGGCTCGCCAGCCGTCGCGCCCAAACTCGCTTCAGGCCGTGAGTCTATAGCCGGCGCGGTGGCGTGGCTTCGCCATGGTAGCCTTGGGCGGGTTGTCCTCAGAGAACGCATTCGCATTGGCGAGGAGGCGAGCAGCGCCACGAGTCCTGAAAAGACCAAACAATATCAATAGACAATCAAAACTGTAAAAATTGGCATTAACTGCGCAACTGATGTTTGCTTGTTTGTTTATTAGGGTTTACGGGCGCTGCGGTGGTCATTTTGCACCCATGAAGCTGTTCTGGTGAACCTGCGCAACTGAGCAGTGATCATGCTATAACTTATGTTTGGCGTAGTACCAGGGTTCCACCTAAAATTTCGGCGCACGTCAGGTGTAACGTCACATGCGACAAATTCAGCGCATGTCAGTTGGGCAAACTAAGGCTGATGGAACAATATAAAACGAGGGCACCAAAAATTGATCCTAAATGACCATACTTGGACATTAACGCAGACCCTCTCTGTATCACCAATTGTCAGAAAACAAGCGGTTTCAAGGAGCGTTGGAGAGTCATGAAGCCAGGATAAAACACAGTGCTATTTTCTAAAAACAGTTTTTACATGATAGAGTTAGGCAACTCTCTCTCTCTCTCTCTCCGTTTACCATTCGCAAGGCCAAAAAGGCCAATTGGTTTTGAAAGACATTGGATTACAAGCTGAGCATTTTTACTTTATCATAAAATGTTAAACCTGCGTGTAGATAAAGTCTGAACGGTGGTTTGTAGGCTGATAGGTTGGAGGTTGAAGGTTAGTAGGGAAGGTAAGGTCAGGATAATTTCTGCTTTTTATTTTCATTGGACTTCAGTCTTCATCAACACACGCATCAAAAATATCATCTATTTGAGCATCTTCAAGCCTCAATATACAAGTTGTACCACAAAAAAAATTAAAAATTGATGTCATGCCAACATATGGTCATGATTTTTACCACCAGAATTGAATTAAATGCCTATTGATGCTTTACCTAATATTTTGAAGCCTGAAATCTGATTAACCAAACATTTTTTTCTTGTGTTGGCAGTCTAAAATTTGGCTGGCTTGAGCGCGATGCTATTGCTCTAGCAGAATCTCAAACGGATGTCTACCAAGTGCCACTCCCAAGAAAGTTTTTCAAGATTCTAAAACCACAAGCTTTGTCGCTGCCTGATCGTGTGATGGTAAATCAAATGATAGCACTCCGTCTGAGGCCAGTTTTACAAACAGAAAATAGCCACCTGCCGGATTATTTTGCCTAAAGGCTAATTCACATATGGAGTGTAGGTAAATGGTGAAGCCCTCACTGCTTACATGCCTATGGCGTTTACCCTCTGTATGTTGTACCTACGTGGAATGGATATATGAGGAGAAAAATTCCAGGCAGCTATTTTTGTTGGTAAATCGGGTAAAGTAAAACTGGCCTCTGAACGAAAATTTGGACTGAGTGAGATGTCAGCTCTTTGGTGGTTTGGATAGGAGTTGATGATTTTAATTGAAAGATTAAAAGGAAAGGGTTTCAAGACAATCGGCATGACAAACCAACACCTTACCTGCAGTTCAAGTTTGTCGATTTCTTCATCAAAATCTAGTCTTCGTCTAGTCCACAAATCAAGATAAAATTACTGGATAGGTACAACTTCTTCTTCTTCTTCTTCTGCACCTCACCTGCCACCCCCTACACTTCTACCTTATTCTAATAAATATCTTTACATAATTTTCACAAGAATGCCACTCAACGGGGTATAAAAGAGTGCAGGGCTTAAGTTTTGAGCTACAGAGTTCTCAGTGATTTTGAGACACCCAATATGTCTTTGGCACGCCGTATTTGTCTCTCACCGCTTGCGAATTCGGCGATATGATTGGTCGAAGGCCGAGGCTATGGGTCCAAGAAAAGGCCAAGATTCCTGCCAAGATTCTTACAGATAGCCAAGGCCGATGACTGACGTGACTGACGGCATGTTACTGCCCTTGGCATATTGCCAATGCACTGCTCCGTCATATCGGCAGTGATGTCAACAGTCATATCGGAAGTAATATGGTAGCTATACGCAAAAACCATTTGGTGTATGGCTACCATACTTTTCCGATAACGAGACATTCTAGATCAATCTCTCTACTGTTGGCGACATCTGCTGAGAAATCCCAAGACCGAACGCAAGCACATAAAAGTAATGCACTCTAAGGATGCGTTCGAAATCTGGGAAGTGATGGATTTCATTCCTCAATGCGTGTCCCAGCGTTCCCCATGCTGTTTGTTCCGCCATCTATTGCCATGTTTCGCATTCGCACTTCATGAATTCACCACCCCGCCAAGTAGGTTGGTATCAAGTTGGTATAGGTGTCGCATTGCTCTGGTCGATTAGGCTGAGCCAGCTGTCTGGAGAGTGGAGCCGATCCAAAAAAACGCAGAAATTCAAAACACCGACTCCAAAGCAATGGCAATTGGCAGCATGCATATCATTAGAGCGTAATTCTGTCGTGATTGCGTCAGAAGCAAACATAATGGCAAGAGTTTCTTGTGTGCCGGTAGGCGCGTGTGGAGTCGCTGGACCGACCGGGGACGTACCCAAGGGGGGACGGACGGGGTGCGCCTCCCCCCTAGGGGTTTTCAGGACCCATGCTGGCAGAAGGCCAACGTTGGCCAAAATCACGTCGGAGACGAACGAAATTCATGGGAATCCCCCCAAAAATCACGTCAGGACTCAGGACAATCAAGGCTCTCCGACTCGCCTGCCACCTAGGGCCCTTCAATTCACTGCGTGGGGCCTCCTGTGAATAACCGCTAGTGTCTGTGTCTGACCACTAGGACCCTGGACCCCTCTGACTCCTCGGGTAGAGGGCCCTCTGTAGGTAGGAGGCTCTCTCTACGGGATTCCTCCGCTCCCCCCCCCCCCCCTTCGGCCAAATTCTAGGTTATACGTGCCTGCGCTAAGCCGGGGTCGGAGAGAGGAGTTGACGACCGAATGACAAGGAGTACTCGTCCTGAAAGTAAACATTTGGAATATAAACAATCCAAAGCTGTTCAGTATTTATATCATTCGAGAGCAGTGCCTTCAATTTGGATACACTTAGCATTCATTTCCCACACCCGTGTACACTCCACGAAGGCTTCTCCGCTGCGGACTCCCGCTTCCGCCGATGCGTCAGTTCTGTTATGGTCGGTAGTGGCGATTAACACGGCGATATCCTTGGAGCGACACAGGACGACCGAAACACGATGGCGGCGACCATGGAACTGTTTATTTTTTATGTGCTTCCATATGACCGGGGGTGAGACCAAATGAAGGGAAAGGAAAACGTGCCCCATCACAACACCCCCCCCCCTCAAGACGCATGCGTCGGTACAAGATACGCATTGCGTCTAACACATAAACAAAAATGTACACCACACACGGTGTGGACGCACGAACTCAGTCGTACGTCTGGTCCGCCCAGCGCACGGTCAGTCGGGCCGGACGGCGACGGCGGCGCGTCCCACGGCGCACTGAGCTGGGGTCGTCGGCGCTGTTCCGCAGTACCGGTGGTGCCGGCTGTCCGCCCGCCGGCGCAGCGGCGGCGGTCTCCTCCGTGCCGTCGGGTGCCGAGCTCGGAGCGAGCTGCTGCCGGCGCCCGGGTGCAGGTGTGGCGGCGCCCTCCGAGATGAGAGATCTCTGGGGTCGCAGATAGCGCTGGTTCCGCCAGTAGACTCGGCCACTGGGCAGCCGGACCAGGTAGTCGCGCCGCTGTCCGACCGCCGTGATGACGCCGACGCGGTCCCACAGCCCCGACCGCGGGTCTTGGACGAGCACACGCTGACCCATGGTGAGCGCGCTGTGCTGGCGGGCTGTCGTGTCGTACCGCTCGGCTGTTTCCTGTCGCTGCGCGGCGGCCCTGGCGTCACAGTCGTCCGCCGCCCGCTGCCAGCAGTCGGCGAAGGCCCGGTGGTGCGCCGGCACTGCCGATCTCAGCGGGTGGCCGAACAGGACCTGAGCCGGAGAGCGGCCGTCGGCGCGCGGCGTGTTGCGCAGCTCCAGCAGCCCCTGCGCGTAGGCGTCCGTGTCGAGCTCGCCGCTGCTGGTCGCCTTCTGGATGAGCCGTTTGGCGGCCTTGACCGCCGACTCGGCGTGCCCATTAGACTGAGGGTAGTGCGGTGTAGAGATCTGGTGCTCCACTCCCCAGCGGCGCAGAAACTCTCGGGCGAGCCGGGCGGTGAACTGGTGTCCACCGTCTGTCCGGAGGGTGGTGGGCACGCCGGTGGCCGCGAATATCTGGCGCAGGCTGCAGACCAGGTCTCTGGCAGTCGCCTCGCCGGCCACGTGCGACACAAACGGCCACCCGGACAGCCGGTCCGCGTATACCAGGAACGTGCGGCCGGCCCAGGCGAAGTAGTCAGCGGAGACAGCCTCAAACACTCGTGATGGCGTCTTTTCCGGCATCAGCGGCTCCTTCTGCTGACTGGGCAGGTACTGCTGGCAGGCCGGGCACGCTCCGACATGGTTCGCAATGTCACTGTCCAGGAACGGCCAGTAGACTACCTGCCGCGCGCGGCGTTTGGTGCGCTCGACGCCCTGGTGACTGGCATGCAGGCGCTCGAGCGTGGCGCGCCGCAGACTGGGCGGTATCACGAGCCGCTGGCCGCACACCACCAGGCCGTCGTCCACGGCCAGCCGGTCCCGAACTCCCCAGTACGGTCGGAGGCGCGGGTCCAGCTGTGACCGGTGCTCTGGAAACCCGTTCAGGATCAGGTCAGTGAGTGCGATGAGCTCCGGATCGGCGGCGGCGGCGGCGCGCACCTCTGTCAGCGCCGCGTCTTTGAACGGGCTGGGACCGTCGTCCGCCCCGTCGGTGGCCAGCCGTGAGAGCACGCTGGCGAGCTGATGGCTGGCGCCCCTCTCGGCTTCCTCGTCCTCAGGCGCCGGGTCATCCACCGGCGCGCGCGACAGCGCGTCCGGGATGGCGTGCAGCTTGCCTTGCCGCCAGATGGCGAGCAGGTTGAACGGCGCCAGCCGTTCTCGTAGCCGCTGGAGCCGCGGATTTTCGATCTCCGCAAGGCTCTTACTGTTGAGGATCGGGATGAGCGGCCGGTGATCGGTCAGGACTTCAAACCGCTGCATCCCGCCGAGATAGATGCTGCATTTCTTGCAGGCCCAGGCCAGGGCCAGCAGCTCCAACTCGATCACGGCGTACCGCGACTCGGCGTCCGATAGGAAGCGTGAGCCGCACTGGATCAGTCGCCACCGGCCTGCGGCGTCTTGCTGCAGCAGGCAGTAGCCCAGGCCGCCGGAGCGAGCGGCGTCAGTCTCAAGGACTGTGCGGCGGCGAGGGTCGAAGAAGTCGAGCACGGGAGGCGACGTGAGTGCCATCTTCACCGCGCTGAACGCCTGCTCGTGCGCTGGCGTCCACAGCCACGCGTTCCGCGGCCGCAGCAGCTGTCTCAGCGGCTAGGCGGCGGCGGCGACCTCTGGGGAGAAGGCGCCGAGCTGGGTCACCAGGCCGAGGAACGACCGTAGGTCGGTGATGTTGCCCGGCCTGGGGAAGGCCTGGATGGCACGGACTTTCTTGCCGTCGGCGGTATAGCCAGCCGAATTGATGCGAAAGCCGCAGAATTCGACCTCGTCTTCCGCGAACTGACATTTGTCCGGGTTGAGTGTGATACCGTGCTGGTCACACCTTAGCAGAATCTGTCGCACGTGCTGCAGGTGGGCGGCGTAGTCAGCGTCATAGGCCAGGACGTCGTCCACGACCTTACACGTGCGCGGGATGTCGCCGAGCGCGGCGTCACCGCGCTGGTTGTACACGTCGCCAGAGCTGACGATTCCCATTGGAGCCCTCAGGTACCGGTAGCGGCCCCACGGCGTGATAAAACACGTCAGGTCTCGTCTCTGTCTTCTGGCCGGATGGGGACCTGGTGGTACCCCGCCTTGCTGTCCAGCTTGGTGAAGTACGCAGCGCCGGGTGAGACGAAGGCGAGTGCGTCTTGAGGCGAGCGGACCGGGTACGTCGGTCGCTTCACGAACCGGTTCAGTTTCGTGAAGTCCACGGTCAGCCGACAGCCGGACACTGTGCCGTCTGACGACCCCTTGGCCACAGGAACGATCGGATGACACCAGTCTGTGGGGTGCTCCACCGGCTCGATGATGTCCTTTTCCATCAGCTCGTCGAGTTGCAGTCGCACGTCCTCTCGCCAACAGAACGGGATATTCCGGGCGGTGGTCACAGCGTGAGGGACGGCGTCGTCCGTCAGCTCGATCTTCATCGGCTCCCCCATCATCTTCCGCAGGGTCGACTCCGTATCGAAGACCCTCGGGAACTCGGCTTTCAATTTGTCGAAATCTGCCCGCCGCTGCCGTGCGGAGGGGGTGCCACCGGCGGCCGGGCGGCGGCGCGCGCGTAGGGCCGGGCGGCGGCGCCCGCCCGGTCGGGTCGGCGCCGGCCGAGCTGGCGGCCGGCCGGTCGGCGGCAGAGACGCGGCTTATGTCCCGGGTCTCCTCAGGTGCCGCCGTCGTGCCGCTGCAGCGCCGTAGTGCGGGCTGTCTGCCGGCGGCGGGGGCCTCAGGCGGCTCGCCGGGCGGCGGCGGCTCCGGTGCCCCACCGTCCGTCCCAGTCTCGGCTGCCGAGCCGCGCTGGCAAATCTGCCGGGGAAAGCTCGCCGGTAGAATTCCCAGGCCGATACAATCGTGCCACGACAGCAGTGGTGAGTGCAGTGCTCGCAGAACGGACACCTGCACGGTCTGTATGACGTCACCGAGCTGCAGGGTGAGGGCGTACGTGCCCACACAGTCCAGCCGGCGGCTGTCGGCGGCCCACAGCACAGCCGTGGAGGGCGTGAGGTCCGCTCTTCTCACTCCCATGGACTCGGCTTGTTGCAGTGAGAGGGCTGATATCTCGGCGCCGGTGTCGGGCGTCCATACGGTCGACCGCCTGACTCCGTTTGGTAGGTGCAGCTGTAGCCGGACCTGCGGCGACCGGTGGGCCGTCACACTGTTGAGGCGCGCGCCCGGCGTCCGGGCTGCCGGCGGCGCTGACTGCTGCCGGTTCCCCGTGTCTCTCGTGGTTGCATTCGCTGCCAGCACCGAAACCTGCCGGTGCGACGCGTCGGCAGCCGTGCTGACACGGCGGCGGCTGATTGCGCTACGGTGGCGCCGGCCCCTCCCCTGGCGGCTGCTGCTCGCGCTACGGAAGCGCCAGTCCTGTCCCTGGTGGCTGCGCTCGGAACTAGGCGTCTGCCGGCGCCGCTCTTCAGTGCCCGCGGCATGCCGGCAGACCGAGGAAAAGTGGTCCCGTTCGTGGCCATCGGTGGCAGGTGCGACCCAGGGCGGGGCAGGCACGACCGTCCGTGTGCTGCGCGGCACCGCAGCGGTCACACCGCCGGGTCTGGTCGGCCGAGCGCGAGTCCGCGCCGCTCGGCCGACCGCGCTGTCGCCGGTACTCGGAGAGCCGGCGCAGAGACGGCTCGCCCGGGCCACGGATCGCCGAGCTGTTGAGACGGGCGCTCTCGGACGCCCGGCACAGGTCGGCGGCCATCTGGAAGGTCAGATCGGGCAGTTCCAGCATGCGGCGTCTGGCCTCGTCATCACTGGTGCCCACCACCAGATGGTCTCGGAACCTATCATCGGTGCAGTTCGGGCAAAAATCACAGCAGGACGCTATCTCCTTCAGGGCGCAGATAAAATCGTCCACTGACTCGCCTGGCTCCAGCATCCGCATGTTAAACTCGCAGCGGTCGATCACCACCAGCGATGCCATTCCTTGGGATTTGTCCCAAGATCTTGGGATTTGGACATCAACATTGGGATCTTGTGATTTGCACTGTATATCTTGGGATCTGGCAGAAGCTGATTTCAATTTGTCTTCTCATGCTTTTTTCGAATGCTTTTTCCTCAGACGATAAGAAATTTGAGATGGATTTGCCTCGCGGACGTTTCAGACTTCAGAGCATTCAAACATATTGAAGTAAGCTATATTCGGACGAAGCTTGCGGTGTTTCTAGCAGGCATCATCTTCCCGAGATCGCAGGATTAGTTTTGTAACATTACTTATTATGAGTATAGTAGCAGCACTGGCGACCATTTGTTCATGTTCCAACTACCGATCAACGGGTATGGATGGTTTGGCGACATGATGTTGGGTGGCTATGAAAAGCATTAACAAACATTATGCCAAAAAAATGTTTCAGAAAGCGGCTCCCGCACAAAGTGTTTCTTCATATAATAATAATGGGTTTGCTCTTTGGAGGCTTATCCGTTGACCCGAACCGAAATAAGGGCAATTTGTCTTTGTCCTCGGAAAAGTGTGTGGTCACCTGACCTCTGCTTGACTAAAAAAATAATTAAAGCGTATCCTTGCGAGTTGCTACTCTAACAACACTGCTGACGACTTGTCACTGTACAGTCCAGGGGACGAGTTACGTGCTCGTTTAGACCCCCTCGCCATCGTCGGCTTGAAAATTCATGGGCCCCAGCGGACACTGATTTACACGCATGCAGTTTCTCCGCATAGGCGTCACGATTTCGGGATTCATGTCAGCTTTTGAGAGCAGAGCTCTGTTCGGTCCCTGTTTTTATCAATGTGCTCTCGGTTTTCCCATATAAGGAAGTTATTGCTTGCGCTTCTTGGCCTCTCATTGGTCTAACGAATAGACCACTTGAATTCGACCAATGAGGAGCCAAGAAGTACTAAATAGCAGCATGCTCGCAGCCTGCTGACAAAAAACTGCGACCGAACAACCCCCTTGTTTTGGAGCCCATATTTCAAAACTGTCACTGGTGGAAAACACTTTAAAACAGCCTGACTTCACCTGAACCTAGCATTTCCAAAGTCCAAATGTGTCATGTTAAAAACAAGATTCGAAATAAAAAATCCAAAATGCCACAGACGTCGTTATCGTTTCCAAGAAATTCTAACAGATTCTGACTTTGTGTTTTGAGTCCTTGACCTGCCAACCGATCAGCTGTAGGAGTCCGATCGATACCCCCTTCCCCCATCCCCGACCTCTACATTAGCTGCTGTAAAGACGCCAATGAGGACGTGGGTGGACCCGATTAAGAGAACGTTGAATACTATAAGTCCGGTTTTTCTTAAGTTTGCCCCTCACTGTAAACGTCTCTTTGAGCACAGCACGAGAATTGCTAGCTGAATTATTACTGAGAAAACTGGTTAGCGCACATTGTATTGTAGATATGAATAATATTTTCAAAAATAAGTCTTGAGCACCGATGATTTAACGTTATGTTAAGCGCCGTGCAGTTTATTTATTAGTTCAGACATAATTCCTGAAAAGTCGCCTATCCCTGTGGGGCTGTAGGTATTGGCAAATACGAGCTACGAGTCTGTGAAATAGTAAATAAATTTGATGAAATTGATCGTCTGTGAAATCTGAGGCCTCTTGCACCAAAATCCTCTTGCACCAATGCTTGGATTATTTTGCATCGTATACCCAGTCCAAGTCTCAAATGTAACAATTTGCATGCAAAATTTTGCAAGCACATGTAGGATTATGTATTGGGCTATCGCAAACGAATTTACCACCGTTAGATTAGCTTATTCTGAAACCGGTTTTTCGATTTTACCTAGCTAGGTAGTTTGGTGCAAGAGGCCTCGGGTCAAATCATTGTGCGCCAACCAGTTTTCTCAGTAATTCAGCCAGCAATTCTCGTGCTATGTTCAAAAAGACGTTTACAGTGAGGGGCAAACTTAAAAAAAAACGAACTATAACCACACTTATGACTAACGTGTAGAAAAATAAGCTATGGATTTGCTTGAGATACACCTAAGGATAGATATTAGGTATGTGATAAGCAGTCTTGGGATTCGAGACGAGAATCTTGGGAAATTCTGGGCGAGATCTTGGGATGGAGCAGAAATGTGGATGGCATCACTGATCACCACGTTCCGCTGCCGCCGAAGGTGGGTGTGCATGGCGGTGATTACATCGGCCATGGACGCCTCGGCCGGGATGGGCAGGCCAAACCGGACCACGCGGGCCCAGTCGTCGTCGAGAACAGCGAGCAGGGCGGCCCGCTGCTCAGCCTCGGTGAGATCGTGGACGCCGGTGAGGAGGCAGTAGCCGGAGAACTTCTCTTTCCAGGCCTCAAACTCCTTGAGGGTAGCGGTAGCCGCCAGCCGGGGCGTGGGCGTGCCGGCGGCGGGCATGCGTGCACGCGGCCGGGCGCCGGAATCGGGCCCCGCGGCTGCCTGGGCGGGTGCCGTGGCGTCCTGCACGGCCGTCGGGCCGGGAAGCACCCGCTCCAACAGCGCGGCCATCCGCTCCTCACGTCGCGCTGCCGCTGCAGCCAGCTCCAATTGCTGCTGCAGCATGCCCCGAAGTAGCTCCATCTCAGACGGCTTCTCGGCGGCGGCGGCCGACTGCGCCTCATCGCCGCCCGGCATCTTGGACGCGCGCGCCGCACACAGATGTCACTCGCGACTGGCGACACAAGCATGAATCAGAGATTATCCCAGCCGCTCGCCAGGTTTCGTGCCCCACCCCACGCCAGCCCGTCATCGACTTCAGTCGGCTGGGCGGCCCATCTTCCGCGATAGTCCTGAGGGCTTGCCCTCGGGGAGCGCGTGCGCCTTGGCGAAGAGCTTCGCTACCAGCACGTCTCGCCGGGCGGCCAGCGGGCACCGGCATGAGTCCGACCTCCGCCATCACTGCGTGGGCTGGGGTAAACAAGGGGCAGCCGGTGATATACGGGTCACCGCCCGCATCTCCCTCTGGAGGAGTTCCACGTGGGATTGTGGCGTCACCAGGAGCCAGGTGGCGGCCGCGTGCACCAGCACTCCACGGACGTATCCAGACGCTACAGCGCAGAGCTGTCGTTCCTCTAGTCCCCAGCCCCGCGCTGTCCGCTTGCGAAGCTGCTGGATCCCGGGCGCACTCGGGAGCGGAGACTGCGGTAATGGGCCCCGAAGTGAAGGAGCAGGTTGAGGGGGTGGCTCCGAGTAGTTTGAGACGGTCGGCTGCTGGAGCCGACTTTTCGTCGACTTTGATGGCGCAGTCCACGGCGTCCGCGGCGCTCTAGGAGACGACGAGCAGCTGCGTATTTCACCCGCTACCAGCATCTTGGACTATTTTGCCCAGCGCACCACAGCGTCCGTCGCCTCCTGCATCCGGCCCCAGCTCAGTGTCGTCTGTTTCCATTAACACTCTGAAATGACAAAACAATTAGCAATTAAAATCAAAGTTCAGCACTGACCAAGTTTGACCAAACTTGCCATTTCAACATAACACAGTGAGCTGTCAGAATGCTGTTCTTTTGTGCTTTGACACAGTTGCAAAATAGGTACCTTCATACGTATATCATAGAAGTAATTACTGGTTACTATTATTGGAGGATTTTTTTACACCGTTCTCGTCAAGTAAAATACATTATTTTCTTTAACCCTATTCCTGGCGGGCGGGGGGCTTTAAGGCCCCCATTCAGGTTTTTCTTGTGCCATTGCCAAACGCCGCAAGACTGAAAGCTCATACTCGGTGACTTTTTAAAACATTCATTGCGCACATTTTGACAAAAAAAGTTGCCGGGTCAGGTCAGGTTAGGTCACCAGAGGCGGTTTGGTGACCCCACCTCAGAAAAGTTTGCAATCACGCCAGAGCTAGAGTTTTTGACCGATCAATTTCTTCTCTTCAGGTTTTAGTTTGAGTACCAGTATGTGCAATTTGTATATCTCAGAATTTTCATATCTGTGACCTGAGGTCAGGCCAGACTCGTGACCTTTACATTGCAAGCCTATGGGAAAATATTGAAACGCCTCCTGCTTCGTGTAAACGAGTCAAAACCACCCAATTCTTTCAGTATTATGGAAGATTATCTCATCGGTGATGATCCTGGTGCCGCTAATTGACAGGGGCACCGGCAAAGGTCATCTGAGGTCATGTGACGTCATAAATCGTTTTTCTGTCAATAAATCACGACATGATGGTGCTAAAGACTTGCAAGTGGTACCAAACTGCTCGCCTGGTCAAGGCGCGTCGTTTGGTATGCAGCATGACCATACCCCGGTGCACCGTGTGCCGGGAGGAGGCCGCCACGCCCCGGCACCTCTTCTTCCGGTGCCCGGCCCTCATGGGCTGGCGTCTCCGGAGGTACGGGACGATTTTCCCGAGCCCGGAAGACGTCCGCGACGACGGAGAGGTGGCGGCCCTGGCGGCCGCCGTGAGGGACCTCCAGAGCCGCACGGCTACACCGCGGTAACGCGGCTGGATGGAACCACAACAACAACAACAACAACAACAACAACAACAACAACAACAACAACAGGTGCGCGGCGCTGAGCTGACGCCGCTGCTCCACTCTGGTCATGTCGAGGTCAGTGGCCAGCAGCTGGTGGTGCGCCGGGTCAGGTCAGGGGACGCGGGCGTATGCCGAGATCGCCGAGCTCGGAGGTGGGCAGCGCGGCGCGGAACACGCGACTGGAGGTGATAGTGACACGCCGCGCTGTCATCGAGCCCGGTCAGCTGCTGGTGACCACCAGACAGCCCGCTCAGCTGACCTGTCACGTGACGCCGCCCCTGGCAGCCAGCGACATCGTCTGGTTCAAGGACGGCCGCCGTCTGCCCGCCGCCGCCAGCCGGCCGGCTCTGCAGCTGACCGGCGGCAACCGCTCCGTGGCCGGCATGTACCAGTGTCACGTGACCGATGACCTCGCCACCACCCAGGTCAGCATCGGAGCGTTGCCGGCTCGGCTGCTGTTGTCGCTGGTTCAGCAGACGGTGCAGCCGGTGGTGGACACTGCGGTCACATTCACCTGTGCGGCCACCTCGTCACCGCCGCCGGCTGTCACCTGGACGAGGGACGGCGTCAGCGCCGACCAGCTGGGCGGCAGGTTCCACGTCCAGGACAGCACCTCTGGAGTTAAGGACGTCACTAGTCAGCTGACGATTCAGCAGGTGTCCCGTTTCAGCAGGTGTCGCAGCTAACCTCTCCGACGGATCACCCTCCCGGTTCTGAGCTCCGGGGTCACTGCCTCCCATTGACAGACTTTTCTGGCGGCGGCAGCGGAGATATCATTGCTCCGTCTGCGGCGTGGATGGCCAGCCGGGTGGTAGACTCTGTGGTGCCGGCCGCGCTGTGGGCGCTCACCAACAGCTGGTAGACTGTGACCGGCAGCAGACTGCACAACTCGGCTACGTCCAGGTCGGCCGGGAACGGGCCCTCGCGCCGCCGGCCAGCCACAGGCAGCTGAGACCGATGGAGGAGGGTGACACGACCCGGCAGGTCAGCTGACGCGGCGCCACCTCCGGCACTCCCTCCTCTGTGGTGGCGGTGACGGGCGAGCTGGCAGGACCCTGGCCGGCTCGGTTACAGGCGCTCATCGGGACTGAGTATGCCGTGTTGGGCTGCAGGTGTTTGAGGAGCAGCACCAGCTCCGGTCGGCAGACGGACCTGGTCAGGGTGATCTGGTCGACCAGCCGGACGTAGGTGGCCTGTATCCGTCCGTGGGTCAGCGACTGCGGCGGCGGTGGGCTCCACGTCAGCCGCAGGGTGCGCGGCCCGGCAGGTCGTAGCCGGGCGCCGAGCGGCGGCCCGCCGGGCGGCTCCGGCTCGGTGTGCACCCTCAGCGCGCCGCTGGGCTAGCTGCTGCCGTGCCGATTCACGAAGAACACATGCAGCCGGTACGAGGCGCTGGGCTGGAGGCCGGCCACCAGCGCACTCCGCTGCCGGGCCAACACTGTCTCATTGACTCCCAGCTGCCAGACCCGGCCGGCGGCTCGGCGACGCACTGAACCACGTAGTGCGCCACGACGCTGTTGCCGTCGTACCTGGGCGGCCAGGCCACCAGCACGGATCGCAAGGTGACGGACGCCAGCCGCCGATCGGAGGGCGGCTCCGGCCGCTCCGTCACTATCACGTGCCGCGCGGTGCTGTCCTCGCCGTGACTGTTGCGTACGTGTAGGTGCCGCCGTCGGTCCGTCGCGCCGCCGTCAGTGTCAGCTGGGAGGAGCCGTCCGCAGCCGTTACCTGCACAGTGACGTCTCCGTCCGCCGGGGTCACCGGAGCTCGGTCGGGGTCTCCAGCAGATGGCTGCGCCGGTACCAGCTCAGCTGCAGCGGCCGGTCACCGAACGGCGCCAGACACCACCGAGGCGGCTCTCTGACGCTGCTGGAAACGAGCCGGCACGGTAATGCCGTGCGGCGCGGCGCGCCGCAGCCGCTCGTCCACGCCTTTGTCGGCGCTGTAGCCATTTTCTCTGCCGCCGATCTCGGCGACCGTCAGCGGCGACAGGCAGCCGTCGGCGCCGCCCGACGGAGGATGAGCCGCCTGTCGACGGAGGATGAGCCGCCTGTTGGCGGAGCCCCGGAGCGCGGCGGCTGAAGTGAAAGTCCAGTCCATGAGACAATAAACGGTGGCTGATCGGCCGCCGAACAGTTGAAGTCACGACGCTGCCGCCCAGCGCCACTTCCCTGTCCACCATCTGGTGAAGCCAGCGCGGCGGCACTCTGACGCGGAGCTCGGCCGAGTCCGAGTGGCGGCTGCCGGTTACCGCGTTGGCCGCAGCCTGGTCGGCTCGCACGCATTGGAACACCAGGCTACTGTAGAACTCTGCACCGACCGTCTCCAGGCGGTGGACGGCCAGCGAATGGTTGCCGCGCGGCCAGCTGAAGGTGATGGGCAGGTCGCCGAAGGTCACCAGACACGAGACCTGCGCCCGGTCGCCCACCTCCAGAGACGCCGGTAAGCTAAACGGCGCGATCCGCGGCGGCTCGATAACGCTGACGTCGACGAGTCCAGTGGCGGTGCGCCCGTCGCTGCCGGTGGCTCGGCAGCTGTAGAGGCCGCCGGCCTCTACGGCGGTCTGGGCGGCGCGGCCGCCCGGCCTGGCCGGGCGATTGAAGATGAAGCTGAAGGATCTAGACCACCACCAGAGCTACGAGGTGTGGGTGGCGGCCGTCAACGAAGCCGGGCAGGGCGCGCCATCCCGAGCGCTGCTCTATCGGCCCAACACAAACATTGCGGCACGAAAAAATAGCCTCGTTCTCGCGACTGGTACTGGCCGAGCAGGCGCGGCCGCTACTGGTGCAGTGCCTGGCGGTGGGCTGGCCGGCGGCGCGACCCGTCTGGAGCGCCGACCGGCCGCTGGCGCAGCTAGGCACCGCCATCCGCGAGAATGGCAGTCTGTTATCAGCGACGAGCCGGCAAGCCTGAAACTGGACCTGCTCGGTGGCGAGCGACGCGATGACGTTGCGTGTGCTGGTGAAGCGTCCGGCGCGCGCCGCAACGCCCGCCGTGCTCGGCGTCGGCCGCCACTGGGTGCGGCTCGGCTGGAGTCTGCTGGGCTGGAGTACTTTTCTGCTGCCGCCAGAAAAGTCTGTCAATGGGAGGCAGTGACGCCGGGGCTCAGAACCGGGAGGGTGATCCGTCGGAGGGGTTAGCTGTGACCTCCCACCGGGGAAGGTCAGCTATCACTGGGAAGGGTTCGCTGCCACCAGCCACCGGGCAAGGTCATCCCCCACCAGGGAGTGTCAGCTGTCTTTGGGGAGGATCAGATGGCGAGGATCAGCTGTCACTGGAGAGGATTCAGCTGCCAGGAGAAATACCACTTGTATTATGGGGTTTAGAACAGCTGGAATGGCAGCTCTGTAGCTTGAGCAGACACCATGGGCGGCCGAACGAGGAGGGCACCGGGGCACCGTGACGTGCCCCCCTTTGGTTTTGACATTTTAACATTAGCCCTATGGGCGTTGCATGGAAAGAATGGGACTTGGACCAAAAGTCGGCAGTGTCCCCCCCCCCCCCCTAATTGAAGGTGTTCCGCCGCTACTGGCTGACACCTGACATTAGCGCATATTTTAAGTCTTAGCACCCCAGCAACCACTCTAGCCAAGGATTTATGTTATCAATTTGATCTGAATCTTCTGAATGGAAGGGTTCACAAGGACATAGTCCCCGCTGAGAGGAACATGTTGGCATGCCCTCCACATTCTAAGCACACATACTGGGCTAGGGCAGAATTTGGTCTGAAATCATATGTACGCACAAAACCATGCATAGCCAATCCCTTAGCTTACTGACAAAGGCTGGCTACAGCCTGCCAGCAGCCATAACCATACCCGTGAGGAGTCTCATAGCAGCACGCGGAGCACGTGCTGCTCCGCTACCGGGCCCTCGCTGGCTCCCGTCGAGGTATTGGGTTTACGTGGAAATAAAAACTAATTCGGACGCTCAAACATGGGATAGTGTACAAAGCCCCGAAACACTCTGCCTGGTTGATATAGCCTTGATCAGTATATGTGTACATGTGCTTTATATGAAAAGGGCTTAATTTTCGCACAAATAGCCACCTAATTTTTGGAGCAAATCACTCAGAAATTTCGGCGCAAAATCGCTTGCGCCGAATTTCGGCGCAAGATGGTCTCACGGGCGTCCGGCGTAGTGTATGGATGTTTTCCAGTCTGGCCCGTGAGGAGTCTCATAAACAAGATATATTAAATATTAATTTTAATTCTGAAATAACTCCCATGCCTGCATGATACAGGAGTGTGGTGAATTGAAAAAATGCAACTAGGTAATGCAGCCACTCGGACAGAATTCAGCCATTCATCATGCTATTGGTTTTGTAGGTACTCGGAGCACTCCGGCATCAGTCAATGTACATTATGGTTCAGTCGCAAGCCTTGCTTTTATCAACGAAAAAAAAATTCTAACATGCATCATGAATTAACAAAATTTTTATTCATATTTTTGTTTTTACCTTTTCTCATTATTTCATGCACACCTTAAAATCATGAAACTGTAGCGAGCAACTGATTTGAAGATAGGAAAGTCCTTGCTACATTTCTCGACATTATCAAAACATCTTTTTCCAAACATACCTATCAACATCCTGGAAATATGACTTAGCAATTTATTGAGGTTCCATACCCTTGACAAGGCAAATGCACAAACTTTTAAACCAAAACAACTTTACCAACTTTTAAATAAATTTGTGACTTCCTTTCCTACTCCTTTACAAAAAATCATTGTTGTTGCCTGCTGGATCGAAAAGCGAAAGAGCGCCCTCGCCCCTTCCGTGAGACCTGCACAAACTTACCAGGAGTCTGCAGTCAGAACACGACACCGTATTCATATTGAAAAAGGGCATAGCGTATAGAAGAGTAGCGACTAGCGTCTCACTGACCTTAGGCCAAAATATTTCACTTGATGACATCCACGCAACGCAAGGCCAATGCAGTGTAGATAAGCATATCAATATAGAAATGATATGTCCAAATATGTCTTTGCCGCGTCATAGTTGTAACGCACTGCGGGGAACTCCAGAGATCTGATTGGCTAATATTAGCCAATCAGTAGCATATGTTACTGGAAACTGTCATAGTGGAAGTAAATTGGTAGCTGTTTCAGCTACCAAACTGATGAAGGAAATAGGTAAAATTGCTTATTTTACACGAACACCTGTCATACGCTAATCAAAGTAGAGCTAATGAAAATGGCATTATCCCACAAAGGAAAGCCAATTTGTCACGTAAGCCACCATGAATAGATTTGCTGAGCTTGTCATCACGTGTTTTTAACAAAAACAGTCAATGAAATAATGTAATTTACGAATTTCTAGCACTCACATGCATATTTTCGTCTGCACACCGAATTGCGTCCAGGATATTGGCCATGGTGTATTTCTCGGGAACCCTCTGTTAGTGGAAATTCCACTATCTGGCAACTAGCCCTATGTAAACGCGGCTATTATTCGCATGGCCGGCTTAAATTCTTCTACTTCTTACTGCAGCGTCTGAAAATTAACTGCCAATCCAGTTCCGTTATCGGTGGTCATGCAAATGCGATGTCACACAAGCACATCTGTTTTACAGTAGCATTAGTAACTCTCGCAATCCCTACCGTGCGGCGGACATGACTCTGGGGTTATGCATGCATTGTCGGTATAAGTACAGACTTGTGCCTCAGCCAAAAATCAAGATCCAAGATCCGCAAGATCCCATGCAATGCCAGGATTTCAGAATACTGGATCTCCTTGATCTCATTGAAAAATATAATATAATTTTAGGATCCAAGATCCCCTGGATCGCACGTATAAATAACGCTTTAGGATTCCGGACCCCACGCGAGAACGAAATGCCAGAGTTCAAATTTCCTGGATCCAACGTAAATGTCATGTCTGTAGACATAAAATTAAGCGTTAAGTTTGAACTTTAGGGCCAGCGAAGCAGGTTGTGCACAAAGACTTCTTAAACAACCTTGTACGCCTCGCTAATGCAAAGCATTTTGAAATTTAGCAAGAAAAATGTGTTCTCAGAGACTAAATGTAGGATACAAGATCCCCAGAATCAATCCACAGAGCAAAAATGTAAGATTCAAGATCGCCGGTATTCATCGACGAAAGAAACATGTTGGATCAAGGACCAGCAGGGTCTCCAAAAAGTATTGATGAATTTATAACCAGTAAAACGCCTTTTGGGCGAAGAACGAGCGAGCGAGATAGTGAGCCCTGCACGTGCGGAAAGGCGAGAGGGTACTTCCAACGGGCTTGTGCAAAGCACCCTTCTAACCGGTTGCTAGCGGTGTGCCAAATTTGAACGCAATCGGCCCAGCCTTTCCTGAGATCTGGAAGCAGCATTCTGCACGTGCGCACGTGCAAACGGGGTCCAAACTGACTTTTGCACGGCACCCCACTAACTGGTCCCCAACCGTGTACCAAATTTGAGCGCAATCGGCCCAGCCGTTCTCGAGATCTGGAAACGCCCCCTGCACGTGCGCACGTGCAGTAGCACCCTAACCGCAACACATGGGAATGCATTGCCTGGTGGGTGCCTACCTGTATGCCAAGTTTCAGCGAAATCGCCCCAGTAATTACCGAGTTACTGAAATGGGAACAAATTTGGCACCTCTTATTGTTGTATTTTGCACGTGCAGTGGGGGTCACTCACATAGATGAAGAGTATCCGACCATTGGTAGAAGGGATGCAGCTACCCTACAAAAATTACCGCAAGTCAATCGCCCAAGCGGCTGCTGATATATGAGCCTCTCAAAATCACTACTTTTGCAAAACAGCTTGAACACCCTTGACTTTTCACGTGGCACGTGCCACGACGGTCACTGAGATGTATCAAAAGTAGTCAATTACGGGGTAGAAGGGATGGGGCTACCCAACAAAAAAGACCGCAGGCCAATCGGTCCAGCGGTTGCTGAGATATAAGCCTCTCAAAAGCGTTACAGGCCGGGCCGGGCCGGGCCGGGCCGGGCCGGGCCGCTCATACTGAGATTTTTTCCGTTATATTGAAAAGACTCACTTCGCTCGCTGCGCTCGCTCGCTCGTAATCAGATAGAAGAATTGCGCTCTTGGATCCTGTGGATCGAATCATTTTCGGATATTGGCCCTAGTCTGTCGGTAACAAAGGCAGGGGAAACAAAATACACATGAGGGCGGGTGCAAAATAACTCAAGATGAGCTTCAGAAAGAAAACTGACTCTGAGAGCCGGTGAAGGCGCGTCTGCAGTTGCACGCACCAAACCACCTGACTCTGACTGCATAGGATCGCTAATTTACAACGCATCAGACCATGTACAATGATTCATGTTATCTATGACAATGTACATACTTTGTTTTCATTGACGACGGATGGTGGCCATCGGGATTTTCCTCTTGACGATGAGGTGTCGCCTCTCTGAGAAAGTGGCCTCCATGGCACCGTCCAGCTGAGGAGATGAGAACATCATGATAGAATCAATTCGACCATGCCTGGTATCTAGATCTCACTCTTGGGGGGTGCAGGGATGGGCTTTTAGAAGAAGCACTTGGGGTGCTCATTTTTAGAAGGATTCGGCCAAATGATTCAATTACAAGTCGTTTATTACAAAAATACTAGACGAACTACGAGGAAGATGAAAAACATGATGAAAAGCTGACCTAGCCTTACCTTATAACCTACTAACTAGACCTTACAACCTAAATAGGTACCTACAATCTACCAGCCTACATCTTACAACATACAACCTTCCACATGCCTACCACTCGAACTTCATTTGCACATATACCACCTATCCTCATGCGCGGATACAAGGGGGGGGGCCATGGGGGCCATGGCCGAAATCCGATGAGTTTTTTTTTAACCTACCCACTTAGTTATTTCTTAGAAGACTAGCTGAGAAGACTTCTTTGTTAGAAGATTGGTAAAGCTTTTCATAACTTGGAGGTCTCTTATACTCACAGAGATGACCACTTTTACAGGGCCTCCTAACCTGCACAGAGGGCCTCCAAGCCTGCACAGATGTTGAGATGTTGCCTGAACAGCTAGATAAGCTCAATAGACGCAGTTTTTTGGGGGGGGCCAACAAGTGGGAAGATGGGGCCTCCAACAGGTGGGATTATGGGGGGGGCCTCCTGGTTTCTAATGGCCCCTCCCTTGGAGATTTTCTGGATCCGCCCCTGCCTATCCTAACCTATAGATGTTTGCACCAGGGTTTGAGCATTAGGGGCTGGCAGAAATAGATGCTATAGGCAAAGGCTTAAAGAAAATACTTGATGTTTAATTATTCTGTTAGGCTTCACGCAGGCAAAGCTGCCCGTAGAATAACAGGTTAGGTTTCACTGTAGGGGCATGTTGAGCATGACTGATATGATATTCCACATTTTGATGGATATTATGAACCAAATAGTAAGAAAATTAACCTCACTCTCATTCTATCTAAAAGTAAATTCCGGATTCGAAATAAAACAAACTTTTTGAGAAGCTTTCGGCATTGCGCCATCATCAGCTCTCTAAGGAATTGAGAGCTGATGATGGCGCAATGCCGAAAGCTTCTCAAAAAGTTTGTTTTATTTCGAATCCGGAATTTACTTTTAGATAGAATGAGAGTGAGGTTAATTTTCTTACTATTTGTTACAATGTCTCTCAAGTTAGCGTTGAAACATATTCAAGATATTATGAACCCCTCAAAAAGGCTTTCATGTTATAGACAATACATAACTAGGAGGGTCAACGAACCCACAGGACAACCCAAGGTATCAGTAGTGTTGTGTGAGTGCACATGTAGGTACATTTTCAATGAAAATATGCATTTTGCACTTAAACATACCTACAGGCAATAAAATACGTAACATTTAACACTCACCAGTCGCTCCAGCCTCCAATTCACTGCGTCCGCCGCGTCCCGTGCTGCACTTCCGGCACAAACATGCAAGATGGCGTCATGGCGGTAATATTAACGCGTAAGGCTTGTGTAAAGCAGCTCATGGATAATTCACGGTTGATCATATTTACCGGCGCATCATTGGTTTCCTTAAGCTGCGTTTGACGAGTTAATGATTTCAAACTGGTTTTTGAACTCATTACTCACGAACAATGAGTTAGCAAGAATCCCTGTCCTCTTTTTCATGAGTTCTTAAACCCAAACGTTCAGTTTCACTAACTCACGGGTCGTGAGTACATTCCTTACTCGCCTTACATGAGTTTGCGAGACTCAACAGGGAGGTTTGATACCAATGTTTTGTGCGTCATGAGTCAGGCAACTCATAGGGAGAAGGTCATGCATTTGGGCAATTGAGTTTTCAAAACGAGTAAACTTTTACTCTTGAGTGTTAACGCTCCACGCATGAGTTACTCATCCAAATATACTCATGAATGGCGAGTCAAATATGAATTACTCTCCCCTCATGGGTAGATTTGTTTTCAGTGCAGTGTCGTGTTGCTGCGTGCTCAGGTACTCCAGATAAGATGTACTTGGAGATTAGTATTCGATGACAAACTTGCCATATTCGGAAAACTGTAAAAATCATTCCCCTGGGTCACGCATTTTTTTCTTCTGGGTTTTAGCGTGACCCAGGAAAAAAATCGTGACCCAGAAGAGAAATTCGCATGATCCAGGGGGTATAGCCTTCAACACATCAGCATTGAGCAATCTGTGAGCCTGGCTCATCACCGCACATCACGTACCTACGTCATTACTGTCCAGCCGGTCCAGCCATTCCACTGGTGTCGTCTCTACCGTGGAAACCTGCCACCACCGGCGGGTAGCGAAAGCGGTCGGATTGCGCGTAACCATGACGACGCGTTGCGTCTCAAACAAGAGCCGAACCTGGCGCACCTGTGGCATTGTTTATATTGAATCGTTTTTCCCGTATCGCTGTTGGTTGCTCGTGAGTAAAGGAACGTTTTGCATGTCTCTCATACATTTGCCTTCTGTTGTGATTTTTTT